CAGTAGCAGCGTCGGCGGCGACCGTGGCGGCGGCGGCGGTGTTTTGGAGTCTGCTCCTTTGTTAGGGGTTCGCGCCTCCCCGTGCGGCTGCTACTTGTTGGTTTTGGTGAAAGGGGCGTCGGCGGAGCTTTGGGGGGTGAGGGGGAAGGGGTGGGGGGTTAGGGGTGGGGAGGAGCGGAGGGGGGAAGTACGACAGTTACGATCCAACCCAGAACACGAAGACGGGGTTTTCCAAGTTTGCATGTGTGTATGGGCATGTACGAGTGTGGACGGGTGTGGGGTTTGGGGGTTTGGGGAGGGAGGGTAGCGACTTTTGAGCTTGGGGGGGGGGAAGGGGGAGAGAACAACGGGATGGACAAAAACACCCACAACCGGCAGCATTTGTCACAACGACCCATTTTCTTTACAAACCACGCACACGTTGACATTCATACATTGGTAAATATCTGCTCCATTCGCCAGTGGTTCTTACACACACATATACACATACAGACACACACATACAGACACACATACACACGCCTCCCCGACAGGTGTGGCCGGGGTCGGCCCCCACCCGCCTCCGACTACTGGACCTGCCCTTCTCTTGCGTCGAGTGGGTACAGCCGTCGCTGCCGTACACAGGACAGTCCGTACAGCCCGATGACGTCACCACGTGGTCGTTATCTTCGGAGCCGCCGCCGGGGCCGCCGCTGCCGCTGCCGCCGCCGACCCCGACCCCGTCGACGACGCAGTTGCCGCTATCTATTGGTCGCGGCGGCGGCGGCGGCGGCGGCAGCAGTAGCAGCCAGGACGGCGGCGGCGGCGGCGTTAGTTCCTGGAGTCTTCCGTTTCATTCCACCTCGGCGGCGGCGTCGACGTCGTGGGGTGCCGTACTGGGTCCGCCAGGGGAGCAGCAGCAGCAGCTTACCCCCGCCTCCGCCACCGCCGCCACCGCAGCGGTAGCAGAAACATCACTCGTAGCTCCCGCTGCTGCTACTGCCGCTGGTGCACTTACAGCCGAGAGTACGGCATCGATTTCTTCCCAGCCACTTTCCCCACCTCCATTTCAGCAGCAACCCCCGCAACCCCACCCCCAGCCGGTTTCAGGGCTAAGCGACGGCGGTGGCGGCGGTGGCGGCGGTGGCGGCGGCGGCGGCGGCGGCTGTGTGGAGGAGGCCCAACTGGTGTTTACTTTGGCGGATGGGAGAGCAGGGGTTTTGTCGGTGAGTTGTAGCGGGGAACGTGTTTGTGCGTATGTGTGTACGTGTTTGTGTGTATGTGTGTAAGGCGGTGGGTTTTGAAGAAGGCAAGGGTTGATGAAGGCAGGTTGTCTGGAGCGGTAGGCTCGGGGGTCATATATGTGTGCGTTTGTATGTACGTATTTGGTACGTATGTGCGTATATATGTATGTATGTGCGCACATGGAGGCATGGGCGATTGGGGTAGGGGAGGGGAAGGAGGGGCGGGACTGGGCATTGCAGTGGCTGCAGCACCTTGAATCACATGTGGCGATGTACGAGTGTGTATGTGTGTTATTCTATCTCTCTCTTTCCTATCTCAAGTTTATGCTGCATTTCGCTCCCTCCCCCCCTTCCCCCCCTCGTTCGTGGTTCGCCTTTCCCCCCCTTTTCCCCCCATTCCCATTCAATCGCGTGTGGTTCGTCTTTCCCCCCATTCCCTCTTGCCCTGGCAGCAGTTTCACTCGCTCGTGGTTCGTCTTTTCCCCGCACCCCAACCCAACCCAACCCCCCAACC